CCCTCTCTCTGGTACCATCCCCAGACAGGACCTGTTTTACCTTCCTGTTCTCTGTTTTTGAAAAAAACAATTTTTTGTTTATTTAAGATAGCTATTCGGGGAATTTCATTATGACATTTCCATGTATATATGTATTATAACCTGAGTTGGTTCATCCCTCCATTTTTGTCCTTTCTACCCCAGTCCCCTTCTAATAGTGATTTCAACAGGTTTAAGTCGGTTCCTTCCAAGATGACTGAGACTAGTGTTACTCTTTTTACTATGGCTTCCACTTTCCCATGTGTTGGATCCTTTATTCTTGATGAATTACACATGGTAGTCTCTGCTGGAAGTTAGCACTGGGGAGAAATGGCACTCAGTGTCAGACATAAAATGGGTAAATACTGAGTACTGAAGACGCTAATAGATAGGCTCTTACAGCTATTGTTTTTAATAAATCATGGAGAAAATGAGACAGATACTACAATGTTTAACACAGTCCCAAGTTGTGTGACTTTCTTAAAGGGAAAAAAGAATGAATCCTGAAATCACTCAGGATTAAAACTTAATATTTATTCCTGACAAAATCACATAATTGATGATTGAATAGATGGTTTGCAAATTTGGAAAACACATCCTGGTCCTTGGAAGGAAATTATTAAAATTCAGTATTAGTCTATTTTAGCTTACTAGAAATATATTATACCAGAATAACTGCTCTTCCTTTTTAAGTAGGATCACCAGTTTGGTAGGCGAGTAGTATCAAAGATTAATGTGTCTTTATTATAATAAAACATTTGAGAAAACTCCAACAATAGCCTTTGGAGAAGATGATAAAATATGGACTGTTTGGGAACTCTCCTGGAGGGAGGGAATATTGTTCATTTATAAACCTTGCTTGAAGCATAATTAATATGTCTGGCAGTTGGGAGTGTGGTATTTAATAGAGCCAGCCAGCCCTGTGTATAATCCTTACCCTGAAAAAGGTTCTAATAATTTGATTATTGCATATAACAGATGGGGGTGTAAAGCCAAGAGGATTTACCCTCTGATTGAAGGGAATCATGTCACATTCAGAATTGTCTTTGAGACCTGAATTGTGGACTCTAGTCACATGAACCTCTTCATTCCAGTACATAAAAATGTAGCACAAACATAACTAAGAATAATTTAATGTTTGTGACTAGTGAAAAAAAAATAGGTTAAATTTTAACATTATCAGTTAATAATAAGTTAATGACATAATACAGCTCCTGTGTGCCATACTGTATAAGAGTACAGCCTTTGAACTCAGGTCCGCCTGGATTTCAACCTCAACTCCATTGCCTGGAAAATGTCTGACCAATCTACATGGCTTTTTGAAGTTTTAGTTGTTCCTATAAGTGAGAAACCCTCAGTCCTAGGCCATACAAATCATGTGTGTGTATAAGTTGCATTGGCATTAATAATGAGCAAACTTCTGGTCAATAATGATCATGGAATTTTAGCAGGGGCATGGAGAAAAGGTAGTTAATATTAAAATAAGGCTGTATGGAAAGACTGGGGCATGTAAAAGACAAGTGAAGGAGCTGTAGAAGGTAAGGTTAGGGGGACTCACCATCACTGTGCCCAAAGATGTGAAGAACTTCATGTGGAATAGTCAAATCAGTTCTCCATGATACTTCCATGTTGCCCTTGTAGGATAATTACCCTCATAGGACTAATTAGTTACTAACCAGTTACCCTTATAGGACTAACGAGGATAAGTCATAAAAAAGGAAAACATTTTTCTTTGGATAGGATATTAATTAAAAATCAGATTTAATATGATGCATTATAGATTAATCTCTGGGGAAGGGGAGGACATAAATCCCCGTCTTTTGCCTTTGTGAGTAGATTGGCAGATTTTCAGGACAGGGCTTTATAATAATAAACCTTTTATTCCCTAAGCAATTACCAAAAGTAACAACTCAGGTAAGATTTGGTGAATGAACAGATAAGTGAGTGATTGGCACATACATGTGAGTAACTCTTTATTACATGGTTATTGTAGCAGTTTAGACATGACAATAAAGAGAATATTGTAAAACCAAAAAGAATTTTGATTTATTTTTAAATGGATTTAGTGCTTTGGGGATGGTTCAGTTAATGTTGGATTATATGAGACTTGAATAATAAAAAGAATGTTTTATGAGTTTCAGAAATAATAATGAATAGAATGGTAATCTCAAATACTAATGGTGGACCTATTTTCTCAATAACACCAAGATTCCTAACATCTAACTACATGTTAATTTAATAGTAATTATTTCTGAATCTGACTTCTAGAGCCACAAAATATATTTATACACACGCATCCCCTCTGATTCTTTCCTTGAGTCCTAAACTATTTTCTCTTGGCGATACATCATTGCCTTGCTGTGCTTATTCAAGTCACAAGGGTGCCATAGCATAGTCAGACTTACGATTGTATGCTTCGTTCAAAAGAACAATTTTTTCATCTTCACACATTCCATTTCCCCTCAGACACTTCTAGTTTCTCCTCTGGTAGTATTTTAGGCAGTGTGGTTCACTCTTGGGGCCCATCTGAGCACAAACCAGATCTTTTGTTGAGTTCCTGTACTCCTATCTTCCTCATTACAGAATTCAAAGCAGAATGAGTGAATTAATAACATGTATCTATTCCCTGCAGCGTTTGGGGAAGCTGCAGCATGCTTACAGCGGCACATAAGCTTTACCTTCGCCCCTCATCCTCCATTTTTGCTGGGCTGCTTCACAGCAGCAAGAGTAGAAGGTGCACTTTACTCTCCAGTGAGTAAATCGTGTGAATGGATGTTTTAAAGCACATGCCCAATACGCAGCTCATGGAGAGAACTGTACTGTCAAAAGCTCTCTGAGAACACTTGCCTGGAATATGAAATTGTACTAAGTACTGTGTTTCCTTGGGTATCCTCGCTGAGGCAGGACTGTACAGACATAGGTGCCATTTAAGTGCATGCTGTTGAATTTAATTTCCCCAACCAAAGAATTATTTGATGTTTGGTTCTATAGCTCTTTGGTGCAAGCAAATACTTGGAATATTAGCACCAGAAAATACAAGCTAGATTACCAAAAGACTGTAGAAATCACTACTCTTCGCTTCATAGTGAAGGGATTCTGATTCTTTCTGATTGGATGGAGCTGTGCTTTTCTGGACTCATGTGGCAGTTTGTATTTTGGGTTCCACGCAGGTTGATGTAGGCTGAACAATGAGATCATCAAGGCAGCCTGATTCAGGACTTGGAAGTTGGGAATTTAATTCTCAGTTTCTAAAAATCAGCTGCCTCTGATTAAGATTTTTGGTAGAAAAATCCATTTCTCAGACCATTTAATGCCTAGAGTAGGTTAAAGGTAAGAATTAACTAACTCCCTGAAATGTAAGTGCTTTCACTGTGCCAACATATTTCATTTAGTTCCTTTTGTGCAGAAAATGATAAAAATAAAAGCAATAAATATGGAAATTATGAGTAAAAAGTACAAGGTAATGATGTAAACAAATTATACACTATTAAAGGTGTAAGTTGAAAATATAATTTCTAGAAGAGGTAAGAAATCTATCACTTTGTACTCTGGGTAACTAGATTGTATTGTAGGCAAGATAACTAGAAAAATCAATTTTTCTTCCTAAATTTCATCACAGGCAAAGCACTAGGATGAATAGACTGTAGTTCTGACTGCTCAAAGAACATTTTTGTCTTCTAGGAAGGCAGTGAAGGCCAATATAATCCCAATTCATTGTTTATTTTTAAAAGTACAAGAGAGGAAAGTGTTTTTCTCTTGGAACATTGGTTTTTAGGCTGTGAATTTATCATGAGAAACATGACCTATATTATGCTTTGTCTTTTTCATATAAATATGTCCAGACGTCTGTAGTTTAACTCAAAACTGAAACTTATTATGTCTATCAAATAGTAAGCACATTTTATAACAAAATAAGTAAATGCACTTTCTTTTGAATATTAGTTTTATCCTGACATTGGTGTAAGACATACTTAAATGATGTATATTTAAACATAATTACTACACTAAAAAAATGTATTAGTGAGTAAACCAGTGGAAATTCACATCATCCTATGGTAGACACTAATCCTCCCATCCTCAATTATTTCCAATCTCATTTTTTTAACACCCAAAATAAAATGAAGGCTGAGATTTTAGAACTCTGGTGGAGTATTTTTCAGGTTCAGGTAACATACCACTATGCTGCATTTAACTTGGTAAAATAGCAGATGTGATATAAACTAAGTGAATTATGCATTTGTTTCATATTTGTCATCTGTTTTACCAATAATTAAATTTTTTTCAGCTATTGATCTTATCAATAATTTGCTACAAGTAAAAATGAGAAAGCGCTACAGCGTGGATAAGACCTTAAGTCACCCTTGGCTGCAGGTAAAACAATCAATCATTGGTTTTTTTTGGATTGATGAGTTTCAAAATCCTTATTATATTTTAATACTAAATATGAAAATCTTTTGTTAAGGGAAAAACAGGCAGACTAAAATAGGGACATGTGACATTGAACCAATGCAAGCCAGAATATGAAGTTGGGATTACAAAATAAAACATCTAAAGAAAAAAATCTTTTGTCATATTTTTAAGTACATTTATCCTAATGTTAATTTGTTTGCCAGAATGCAGGCAGCTTCTTTGGATTTAATAACAGTTTAGTATTTCTTTTTTTGTGTGGGGGGGATGAGACTAGGGTTTGAACTCAGGGCTTCACGCTTACAAAGCAGGTACTCCAGCACTTGAGCCACACCTCCAGTCCATCATTTTTGTCTGATTATTTTGGAGACAGAATCTCACTAACTACTTGTTGGGGCTGGCTTTGAATCACTGTCCTTCCGATCTCAGTTTCCCAAGTAGTTAAGATTGTAGGTGTGAGCCACCAGTGTCTGGCCAGTTTAATATTTCTAAATTTCTCTTTTTGTACCAGGGAAATTGGACATGGACACACATACACACAAACACAGACCAAACACTGAATAAAAAAATAAAAGATGATAACAGAACTCAAAGGACCAGAGTTCAAAAGGGTCTGTGTGTGTAATCCTGATAAATGTCCAAATAGAGGCCTATCTGATCGTGCACTATGCTCATTTGAAAGCTGTATTTTAAAATCTTAGGATATTATTCATGGATACAATATATGGCAAAGGGCTGGTTGAGTGGCCCAAGTAGTAGAGCTTGAGCAAGCCAAAGGCCTTGAGTTCAAACCCCAGTGCCACCAAATAAATAGATAAATAAAGACAAATATATGGAAAGTATATACTTGTATTTTCTCAAATATGTGTTACATTGGCGTTAAAGTGTAGAAAATTGGTATTCTGAAATATCAAAGGATTATCTGCAGACATTAATTTCCAAAGAAATACCATGATTCCTAGTTGCTTAACTACAGGCATTAGTCACCCATGCTTTCAGCCATGGTACTACAAGCAGTATGCCTTTTCAAAGGTTAATCAAATAGGATGGCTCTGGTACTGATGCTGTCACTTGAGGACAAATGGTGAATGATACAGCACTAGCACTGTTGGAGTAGAGGGGAAAATAGTCTCATAGACTGAGAACTGACGCCATATGAAACAGTGTATTGAATCATAATGATCTCTGTGGTAATTCTTTGGAATTTTTTCAGGACTATCAGACCTGGTTAGATTTACGAGAGCTGGAATGCAAAATTGGGGAGCGCTACATCACCCACGAAAGTGATGACTCTAGGTGGGAGCAGTATGCAGGAGAACAGGGGCTTCAGTACCCGGCACACCTGATCACTCCAAGCACCAGCCATACTGATGGTCCTGAGACTGAAGAAACAGAGATGAAAGCCCTCAGTGAACGTGTCAGCATCCTCTGAGTTCCATCCCCTCTATTCTGTCAAAACACTGTGGAATTAATAAATACATACGGTCAGGTTTAACATTTGCCTTGCAGAACTGCCATTATTTTCTGTCAGATGAGAACAAAGCTGTTAAACTGTTAGCACTGTTGATGTGTCTGAGTCGCCAAGACAAATCAACAGAAGCATTTATATTTTGTGTGACCAACTGTGTTGTATTGACAAAAGTTCCCTGAAACACTAAACTTGTTATTGTGAATGATTCATGTTATATTTAATGCATTAAACCTGTCTCCACTGTGCCTTTGCAAATCAATGTTGTTCTTACTGGAACCTCAGTTTGATAAGAGACTGAACCTATCCGTGAGACAGTTCTGTTCTATGTGTCCCATTCGTGTTGTTGTAAGCAAACTCTTGAAGAGTAGAATATTACCAGTGTTCTATGAACAACTCAAAACTCACATGGAAAAAAAATGAAAGATTGGGGAGAAAGGAAATAAAGCCCTAAGATACAAATGCATGGAAGAGTTTTATTGTATGATTCAAGCCCTTTGCTTGCCTGGTGTGCCTCAAAATATATTTATCTCAAGTAAGTGCACCTAGGTATGCAGAGCCTACTGCTCTTAAGCCTAAATGCCTTAGAAATGTAAACTGCTATATACAACAGATATGTTTCGTCCTTTCTTACAATATCCTGCTGTACTGTGGAAAACCAGCAGCTAAGCAACCTTTTGCCTTTTTGTGTAATTTTTTCAATAAAAAGAAATATTCTTGACAAAATATGTGTCCATATGATTGAATTCTTTTATTTGTAGATCAATTTTCAGACTGATTAGGTGCACAGATATCTGTCAAAAAGCAAAGAAAAAGTCTCGTCTAGAATTTAGCCTGCTCTTCTCTGAAGTAGTAAAAGTATGTTTCAAAATATAGTGAAGCATTTCTGCCTTGCATGTCATCAGGCTTCCAGTTGAAAAGGAAACTTGCAAAGGGAAAAATGACCTAAGCCAAACAGGAACTTTGAGGCATAAACAGGAATATTGCACATTGCAATCTCATTGTGGCTTCCTGATTTAGTCAGTATAAACCAGAGATTCTAGTTTCCTTTCATAAGATCTGAGCAACATGGTTCTGTGGTGAGCTATAAAACATACAAAGACTGAACAATAATCCCATAAGAGAAAGTCAGTTCAAGTAAGATTCTATAGCCTGGTGAAGAGATAACAACATTGTACCTAAAAGATTTATTCATGTGTGGAGTAGATAAATAGGGCCAATTTTCTTTCTAGCAAGACAACAGTGGTATATTAAGCAACAGAGAAAAATGGAATTAACTTTTGGAATATTATAAGTGTTGGGGAGACACTTGAATAGATTAATGTGTTAAGACTGTACACTATTTCAACTTGGAGGGAGGGGGATGAATAGTTGGTATTTCCATTGTTAATCTTTGCTTCATATTATTATTGAATTTTATACAAATAGGTCCAAAAATTTAAAAGTTCCTCAATTTCCCTAGGATGGGAAATGAATGTATGTATGCATTCCCACATCCAAGTGAGTATGCATACATAAACACACAGATGTATCATCAAACCAAAGAATAGAATATGTTAACCAGTAGGACAGTGATTCTGTTGCTAACCGAGGCATATAAGAGACTAAGTAATCAATTTCAGGGAGGCACAGAGTAAAAACATACAATTCTGTTCCTCTTAGCATGCACATAGTATAAACTAGAAGGTCATAATTTAAATTATAATTATTTTGCATTAAATTTATATGCTTTTATAATTACAATATGAAATATAATTAATAACTTCTCATTTGTTATGATCCTAAAAGGATTATAATATGAGAAGCTGTGATAATATGACCCACAAGTTATAGAAGATCCTAGAATCCTTGATGATTGGAAAGAGGAGCCTAATATGAGTTATTCTAAGTTATAAAACCACATGATGTTAATTATTCATGCAGAAAATATTTACTCAACTTCTGTTCTACATCACTCCTCTACATGTCAAAGGTTTTTAAGAGTGAATATGACATGGTTCCTGTCAAAGGAACTTCCTTTCTACCAGAAAAAAAAGAAGCAAAATAAATTGCTGCTGCATTTAGAAAATTATATGTAAAAGTATGAAGGAAATCCACAGGGTGATGTTTAAGCAGGACTTGAAAAACTAATAGGTGTACACCAAGCTAAAAGTAGGAGAAAATGACATGACTAAAACATGAAGATAAAGAGTACCATTACACAAAAATGGTTCTTTACAGAAGGAGAACAAAGGTAAGAAAGAGAACTGGAGAGGTACACCCAGTACAGCCAGGTAGTAGTGTAGGTCCAGAGACTCTTCTATTCCATTCCAAGGATTTAAAATTTATTCTTTACGGATCTCAGGAAAACATTCAAACATTAAACTGAAGAGTAAGTACTATCAAGTTCACTCTGTTAGCAGCACCAAGACTGAATGAGTGCCAAGGCAAGGTGCAGGATCTCAAGACCAGCTCGCCTCCTGTCAGAACACAGAAATGATGGTAAGAGCCTGAGCTAAAGTAGTAGTAAACTAGAAGACAGGTAAAGAAGTATGTGTGAGAAATCTGGTATGTAGAATCAGTGGGATTTGACTACTGATTAAACAAGGAATTTAAAAGTGTTGACAATGAACCATAGGTTCTGGCTTGGGTGACCAAGTTTAGATATTTAGAAATGGTGAGCTCACATTTAAATATTTGGATATCGGGCTGCAAGTTTGTGCTATCCTGTAGGTAGTTAGATGTGAATTCATATCTAGCTACCTTCTTGGAGAAGAATTCTGGAGTTGGAAGTTAGCAGCTGACAACATGTTGAATGACTGATCCCTAGAAAGAAATGAAGATTACAAGAAGGAAAGCCACAAACCTGACAGATACCCATGTGGATGATCAGTCATAAAAGAAAAACTGATCAAGAAAGTTTATAGACAGTCAAACACAGTGATACTGTGAAACTCAAGAAATAATTTCAAGCATAAAGTGGGTAGCCAGTAGGAAATGCTATGGGTAGATAATGGCTTCAGCCTTTTTGGGTGCCCTTTACCAACCTTGTCAGCAGTTTGTAGTAAATAGGATTCTCTTCCTGCTGTACTCAGAGTAGCCAGTCAAAAGGATTTCTGATGGATGCAACCTCTTCTGTACTATCATCAAACATAGGAAAAAGAAAGTAATTGTCAGTTTCCAGGAAACAAAAGCAGGCCAGTAAAAACCATTCTACTTTCTTCCTTTCAGAATATCAGTAAATGCAAAAACTCCAATTTCAGTGAATCAGCACTCACTTCTTTTTTGCTAAATATTAATAAAATTGTTCAAACTTCCCATCGGTATATTATAGTATCAAATAACATGGGCAGGTCATCAGTCTACGTATAATAAAAGAGATAGAGATAGACTAACATTTTTGATACAAAAAAGTTATCTTTTATCATCCTGATAAAATAAGAAAAATAACGATGCCCATTTTAGGAAAGATGTGATATTCTGTCACATAAGCAATAATCTTTAAGCAATAACAGTATTTGCCCACCTAATATGTCATAAAAATTTGCTCATCTCTGACTACTCTCAGCCACCAGAGCAAACTACCACTGTTCTTTGCCCATAAGCAAGAGAAAGATAGTGCATAGAGAAATATTTCCATCAGTGCTGCGTTTGTTATGTTCATTATTCCAAAGGAGGAAATTACCATCTGACTTATTTTGAGTTATGTATGGCCAACCTTTTTTCCTGAATGTGTTTAATAAGTACATCAATTTAATTTGCAGCCATCCATTTCTCTCCATACATTATGCTGTCAGTATTTTGATTACCTCTGTGAAGTATGTACTCTTTGTTTAGACCTATCTTAAGTAACCAAATACTGGTTCACCTGAAGATATGCAGAGGCCCATGGAGAAGAACCTGCTACATTTAGTCTCAAAAGGCAGCATTCTCTTTCATCTTTGAGCCTTTCATATCTCTGAACCTTTCACATTGCCTAAAACAATCTTCTCTCTATCCCACCCTCTTTGCCGTTAACTATTAAAATCCTTTTACCATTTGTTTGCCCTATGTTTCCTGTCTCTTTTTGTTTCTCTAATTCTCTTTAACTACATTATTTTGTGTGCTAGATACATATATTTAGTGTGACACTTTAATTCCTCTGTTGGATTTTTACTACTTTAGTTTTTTTCTTATTGATTGCTCTAGGGATTATAATTTGCCTCTTTACTTATCACTGTCTACTTTGAATTAATACTAATTTAATTCCAGTGAAATATACAAACTTTGCTCCATTATACTTCCATTCCCTCCACCATCCTTGTGATATTATTGTTATGCATGGTACAGCTTTATATATAAACCTAACTACATGTTGCAATATTTATTCAATTTTCCCTTGAGTCGAGAAGAAAATACATTGTCTTCTTTTTTGCCTGTTCTTTCCATTGCTCTTTTTTAAAATTTTTTTTTATTCACATGTGCATACAATGTTTGGGTCATTTCTCCCCCCTTCCTTATCCCCCAGCCCCCTTCCTCTGCCCCCCACCCCCTTGCTACCCGGCAGAAACTATTTTGCCCTTATCACTAATTTTGTTGAAGAGAGAGTGTAAGTAATAATAGGAAGGACCAAGTGTTTTGCTAGTTGAGATAAGGATAGCTATACAGGGAGTTGACTCGCATTGATTTCCTGTACATATGTGTTACGTTCTGAGTTAATTCTTCTTAAACTAACCTTTTCTCTAGTTCTTGGTCCCTTTCTCCTATTGGCCTCTGTTGCTTTAAAGTATCTGCTTTAGTTTCTCTGCGTTAAGGGCAACAAATGCTATCTAGTTTTTTGGGTGTCTTACCTATCCTCATACCTCCCTTGTGTG